ATATTTCCTCGAGAAATGAGCATCTCCAATGCATAAATGTTGTTATTGCATAAATTTTGACAAATTTCAATTAATTATGTGGATTGTGGACCACATAAGATAATTGTTAAGTTCACAACTTTAATTCTAAGAAATTATCTCCAATGCACAATATAATTAAACATAATATCGTCCACTTGGCTAAAATAAAAAATTTATAAATAAGAAAATGAATTAAATGATTAGATATTTTGAAAATGACAATAATGTTTCTCTCTCCTCTCTCCATGACTAAAATGTGAACGATAATGTGGATCAACCACATCATTTCTACATTGTAGAGATTAATAATAATGTACATAACACTCACATTAAGTGAGTCCTAATAAAAATAAAAAATTAAATGAACCCCACTCCATGAGTGTTATGTACACCTTTATATACATTTATTATGTACATGTAGCATTTTTCATATCTCATCACACCAACTTATTATTTTATATAATTATTAATAAAATAAAAAAATATTTTAATGTTCGCTCTTTCTAGTTCCGCTGTTTCTTGGTAGAAAGATACTGAAAAGGTACCACCGCCCATCGATCTTTTTCCTTTCAAGAGAAGTACAGCACCCTCTCACAATCATCCACTTCACACACACTCGCTCAAACACACACACACAGACCTCTCTACCATTTCTCGTACTCGGGCTGAATCCGGAAAAGCTTCAAGTGTGTCGTGGAAGATAAAAGATCGGAACTTTTTTTGACCCCTCGTACCGCAAAAACATGTGAGATGACAAAATTAATTCGGTTCTTAGTTTCTCCGATTAGAAGCACACACGTTCACACGGTGAAAAGGGGTGAAAAATACTCCAAGCGGCAAGCTTGGTTTGCAGAAATTGTTTTCCACCAGATCTATCAATGGCTATCTACCTCCTCTGTGTTTTCTTTTTCTTAAATTATTTGTTTTCATGATCTGACTATGCCAAATGGTTCATCTTAAGTTTCTGAAACTTAATTTGTTCGTATTTTTATTCATTTTTCCTGATGGTTTTTTTTTTTCCGCTTATAGATGCTATAAAAGGAATGAACCCACTGTTGCCGGCAAGTTTTAATCGCAGACACGAAAAGAAACCCGTGGGGTGAACAGAAAAAAAGGGCTTTTGGCCCTGTGGTTATAATTTGCCCGTTTTCATATTTCTGTTAATCCTTTTTGGGTGTGTTTTTGGAATGGGAAGTGCTGGTGAGGAGCCCTTTAAGGGCATCGATGGATCAGTTGGTGGGCTGGTATGGGTCCGAAGGAGGAATGGGTCATGGTGGCCGGCCCAAATTGTCAGCCCGGATGAACTTCCAGACGGTTGTTTGCCTGCACCAAGATCAGGAACCCCTGTGAAACTCCTTGGTAGAGAGGATGCTAGCGTGTGAGTGATATTTTCTATTTTGTTCATTTCGTTCTGATTGAATTGTTTAAGCTCTAAGCATCGAGATGTTGATAACGCGAGCCTTCGCAATGAAAAAGTTCCACATAATTGTCATGAAAAATTGAGTTTTTATAGTAGACCCAATTTTTTGTGTTGGATTTAGTGTAAAAGTGCCACATAATTGTCATGAAAAATTGAGTTTTTATAGTAGACCCAATTTTTTGTGTAGGATTTAGTATTCCTTTGTTGAGTTTTAACTGATTTATAGTTTCAAAATATTTGAATGGATTGTATATGAATCCACTGCCATTTTCTTTGTAAGAATCCACTCTCATTTTAAAAGAGAAATTGTCCTACATTCTTCGATAGCGTTTTTTATTTGAGGTTTGCTGCAAAAAAACTCTTTCAGGGATTGGTACAACCTCGAGAAGTCAAAACGTGTGAAAGCCTTTCGCTGTGGGGAATACAATGAATGCATAGAGAAGGCAAAGGCATCCACATCCCATATCTCTAAAAAGGCGGTCAAATATGCCAGGCGAGAGCATGCTATCCTTCACGCCCTGGAGCTCGAGAGTGCCCACGTGGGGAAAGATTTTCCAAGTTTAGCCTTAGCCCCCTTAAAAAATCCTCCAGAAATCGGCAAACCCCATCAGAATATGCGATTACCCTTGAACGAACAAAATCAAGAAGATTTCATAGAAAATTCAAGTGATTCAGTGGAAGAATCAAATTCGGCACCTGAACTATCCCAATCTGGGGTCTCTTTCGAGGAGCCGAAAACGTGTTTTGACGAAATTAAGGAAGATTGTAAACTGAAAAAGATCCCGGACGACTCGGAAGACGAAGGCTTTGAAGGAGTGAAAAAGCGTATGAAGGGGCTTGAGGACTTAGGCATGGGCTTCAGGTCCTCGTCAGGGAAGAAAAGGCCTCGAGTGGGCCATGCCTCAGAGTTCTTGAAAAAGAAGAACAAACGCCGAACTCTGTCGAAAGTGTTGGAGTGCACACCGATGGTCTGTGTGCCTGTCGTATGTGAACATTTGTCCAGCTTGACTGAGCCTTGTGTTCTGGCTGACAGCAAGATACCAAGAACTGATGAATCGAACGAGTCTAATAAGATGAACAATAATAATAACTCTGATAGCACGATCACTGGAGTCTCGTGTGAGAATGTGGTATCGTTGAGTATAATGTCCAGGAATAATGGAGATGGTTGTAAGATGAAGGAGAATGAGATTTCTAGTGTGGTCGGAGTTTGTGAAGACGGGAGGTTGTTTGATGTACCACTTGTTACTGAAGAAAAGGAGCAATCAGAAGGTATGTTTATATCCCGGTGATTTATATTGTATGAGTAATTGATTTTTTAAATTGTTTAGTTTGAATTGAGGCCCTTGTGGATATATGAGGCTAAGTTTGTGTGTTGACATGCCTTATAGTTATGGGAGGTTCGAAGGAATCTCTAGTTCATGAAGGCATAAATAAATACACATGATATCATGAAGTTTTTGCGAAATTTTCATGTTTTTCTTTTTCTTTTTTATTATTAAAAGAATTACAATAAAGAGAAGGGATGATGCTGTATTACAAAGTTGAAGTACCCTCTTCATATATGTTTCCTTCTAACAAAACAGACTCATTATTGGTCAAGCAATACAATTCTAGGGCTTTTGTAATTTAAAATTCAACCAAAGATTGTCGTAACTTGTAAGTATGCAAAAAAGGGCTAGTTTTTGTAATCTACCCAATATCACCTTCCATACCTTCTGGGGTCTTCACATACTGTCTCCGTTGTTGATATGCCTTTCGATTTTTCATTGCATTTGGATTCTCATACCTCTAGTTCATCAGTTGTGGTCTCATTTGCAAGAAATATATGATTAATGATGATATAATTTAATCCGTCTTATTTATGTAGATTCCATATCATCATGTGGCATTGTCCTTGTTTTCTCATTTCTGCTCAGCTCTTCATAATCATCCATACTTCCGTACTGCAGAAAAAGCCTCCCACTGGCAGTCGAAGGGCAAGCGCAACTCCCGGCCCAGGAGAACCGAGCCCGAGGTAGTACCACCTTTGGTGGGCCCCACCCTCCTAGAAATCCGGGCCGACGAGTTCCGCAACTGGAGCTGGGATTCCGGGGGCCCGAAATCTCACTCGCGGGCCCCACAGAGGCCCGATTTGCACGATGTGAACGTGGAGGTTCGGACGGGCTTCACCCGGGCCCAACACGTCCCCTACATCTCGCTCATGAGCAGGCTCAACGGGCGGCCTGTGACTGGCCACCCGATTTCGGTCGAGGCCTTGGAAGATGGGCTTTGCGATGATTTGGTGCTCGAATGCCACGTCAGCAGCAGCTCTGGGATGGACCTGTCCCAATTCCGGAGGCCACGTGGCAAGAGCAGGTCTAAGTCGAAGCTGAAGAGAAACGGGCCCAAAAACGGGCTTTTGTCCAAGAAAATTAGGAAGCTGTCCTCGTTAACGGGCTGCAGGAAGCAGAAGAGCCTACGCGAGAAGAAGAAGCCCGTTTTGGAAAAGCTGAAGGGCCCATCTATAGCTTGTGTGCCATTGAAGGTAGTTTTCAGTAGGATTAATGCGGCGCTGAGTGGTTTGGCTCGATCCACGCCTCCTCGTGTGATGGGAATGAGCGGCACTTGATTTCTCGATTTTTTTTTTTCTGGAAAAAAATAAAATAAAAAATTGATATCTGTGAAATGATGCTGTAACTGGTCTGAATGTAGAAATCCTTTGTAGTGAGTGAAAGTGTTGCTGGCTGATTAGGTGTGTATATAATGAAAACATTGTTTCAGCTGTTTTTTCNAGAAGTATGGGATTTATGTGTGGTTTTGTTTTGAGGCCTTTTTGGGTTTTAGTGTATATATCTGGTTTGGATCTGTAGTGATGTTTTCTTTCTAAGATTCATCTCATCTTTTGATCTTTTTCTTTTTTATCTTCATTTTGTTTGAGGGTTAATTTGACTAACAGCCAATGAGTTCAGCTTCATTACAGTGAAAGTCCAGTTCTTTTTGTCCATTTCTATGCTGTCTTTACAAGTTACCTGAAAATTACTTCTCAAATTGCTATGCATTTTCGATTTGTGAACATTTATTTCTAGGGTTCCTTTATTTTGCTTACTACAACTAGATTTGTGAGAAAATAAATATTTATCTCGTTAATATAATACATTATCCGTAAATAAGAACAGAATATGATAATGTTGATTTTTTGAACAAGTGTCATATATGTTTAGTGCTTTGCAATTTTGTATGTGTAACGACCTCAAATTCTTTCTTATTATTAATAAAAGAAAATCTCGCTTTGATTCTTCTAACAAAATGAGTGCGAAAGCATAGGCCAAAATTATAGATCTCATATTAAACAAAGGTTCAAAACAATTGCATCGTCAAGTCCCAAATAAATTAAAAAAAAAAGAACTTAGCAAAAGAGGACATCATTTTGAAAGAAATTCACTAATAACAACTCCTAACACGATTCGACCCTTTCCCCAGTACGTGCTGGTTCCTTCAACCTAAAAAATAATTTTTATAAAAAGGGTTAAGCCAAAAATGCTTAGTGGGGCATAACATGTCACCTACAAACCTTATACAGTTACACGATGAAAATATTATTACATGACAGTGATTCTCCAACATGTTTTACGTAGAACTAAATCCACGGAGTACTCGGCCATAATGTCATTGTATAGCCAAAGATGGCTACATAAATTCCGCCCGTAGGCAATTGAATATGGAGATCACATAGATAATTTGAAAGTAACAATAAACATTCATAAGAGACATGTACGTGCACTTTGTAAGGATAAAACCCCACCTTGATGAATGGATAAATGAGGGATGACAATTCGTCTTGAAGGAATGCCTACTTGCTATCCAACTCTACAATATGAAATAGTCTTGAATTAATACGAGATAGTTCAGGTGCTAAAAAGCACTCCGGATGACATGTTATGTGATACTATACAAACCGTAACCGGCTCGCCTATAAATCAGAGGGCCTTTCTTGTTTGGAAAGAATCGTTTCACATTTTTTTTTTTGGCCCGAAAGGGAGTTTATCCAAGTAATGGAAATAAAACCGTCTTTCTATTTTAGTATACTATCTACCATTTGGTTACATTTTAAATCTTCTAACGGTTACAATAAAATTGATGAGTAGGATGTTTCCAAGCCCGCCTAGGCGTAATCGCTACAACAATCGTGCCAACAACAATAATGTTCCCCCAGCCCCGAATCGGGACCAATTCCAAGTGGTGGAACAATTTCGGCAGGCCAACCCACCATCTTTCACAGGGGAAGGAGACCCGACCATTGTGGAGGATTGGATTCGAGCTCTAGAAAAGATATTTAAGTTTACCCGTTGCACCGATGCACAAAGGGTGGCATGTGGCGAATTCAAACTCACGGGAGGAGCTGACCGCTGGTACGAAGGTTATTGGAGGACCAGGCCCGAAGGAGAGCATGACAACTTAACTTGGAATGAATTCAAGGAGATCTTGAGGGATCAGTACTATCCCAAATACTACCGAGCTGAGAAAAGAAAAGAATTCTGGGAATTGGATCAAGGGAGGACGTCCGTCTCTGAATATGAAAGAAAATTTACTGACTTGAGCCAGTTTGGAGCAGAGCTTATCCCCACGGACGTAGAGAAAGCAATCAAATTTACAGATGGCCTACGCCCGGAGCTTAGGCACATGATTAAAAGTCATGGTGAAATGTCTTACAAGGAGACGGTACAAAGGGCTCAAAGTACTGCATCCAGTATGGATTTAGAGCGAAAGTCAGAAGAGGCCACATGGGAAAGAGAGGAAGAGATTCGTTCCAAGTACCCGTCCTTCTTATCCAGTGGTATGTAGTAAATATTTCCGAGGACGAAAATATTCTAAGGGGGTTAGAATGTAATAACCCGTAATTTCATTGGCCAAACTTTTGGATTTAATTTTATTAATTATTAATTTAATTGTCTTTTTTTTTAGTATTTTAAGAAGATCAATTATGGACCAAGATTTGATTTCAAATCTATATCATACCATAATTGTGTATCTTTCAAAAATCCTATTGATTTCACCTTCCTAAATTCTATTGATTTCACCTTCCTAAATTGACCCACTAACTAGTATAAATATCCTACACCCTAAGACTCTTTTTGACACAAATCATTCGAGAGGTAAATATTTTCCTCGTCTTCTCTCTCTCTCCCTTTCTTCCTTTCCTTCGTTCTTCCGTTCGAATTATCATTCTTCGACACCGTCCCCGGCCATGCGCCGTTATTCTGTCACCGCCGGACCGCCTTGCCGGATCCATGTGCGTGTGTCAATGGGAACGGTGGCAAACAAGTTGGATGAATGTTATTAGCTTTATATTGTTTATTTCTTAAAAATTCTCGGCAATGAATTGTGAGATTGTGGAATTTTATCTAGCAATTTGCTAAGATTTCGTTTGATTTTCCATTCCACAAAGCCGTTTGAGCACGAGATTATTCGTTAAAAGATATACATATATAGTATATATATATATATATATCTCCCGCACACTACACATATATCTACTTAATTTTCTTGTTTATTTATTTATTTATTTATTTATTTTATTGCTATCACTTCTTCATTACATAATATATATATTAAACAAATACATATATATATATATGTTGTACACACGCACACACCACACCATATTATATGAATAAGTATCTATATTATATACACGCACCCACACCACACAAATCTCAAAATATATATATATATATATATATATATATATTTATATATATCATACACACACACGCACACACTACACACATATATATTTTAATAACCCTTCATCCGGATGAAGGGTTATTAAAATAGATATAACTCTATGTCTATGTAGATACAAAAAGAAGAATAATTAATATATATAGCGTATATGTTAAATATACATATAAATTCATATAAAATAATTGGTGTGTGGTTTAAAATATATATATAAATATATATATGTGTGTAGTGTGTGCGTGTGTGTGTATGATATATATATATATATTTTGAGATTTGTGTGGTGTGGGTGCGTGTATATAATATAGATACTTATTCATATAATATAGTGTGGTGTGTGCGTGTGTACAACATATATATATATATATGTATTTGTTTAATATATGTATTATGTAATGAAGAAGTGATAGCAATAAAATAAATAAATAAACAAATAAATAAACAAGAAAATTAAGTAGATATGTGTGTAGTGTGCGGGAGATATATATATATATATACTATATATGTATATCTTTTAACGAATAATCTCGTGCTCAAACGGCTTTGTGGAATGGAAAATCAAACGAAATCTTAGCAAATTGCTAGATAAAATTCCATAATCTCACAATTCATTGCCGAGAATTTTTAAGAAATAAACAATATAAAGCTAATAACATTCATCCAACTTGTTTGCCACCGTTCCCATTGACACACGCACATGGATCCGGCAAGGCAGTCCGGCGGTGACAGAATAACGGCGCATGGCCGGGGACGGTGTCGAAGAATGATAATTCGAACGGAAGAACGAAGGAAAGGAAGAAAGGGAGAGAGAGAGAAGACGAGGAAAATATTTACCTCTCGAATGATTTGTGTCAAAAAGAGTCTTAGGGTGTAGGATATTTATACTAGTTAGTGGGTCAATTTAGGAAGGTGAAATCAATAGAATTTAGGAAGGTGAAATCAATAGGATTTTTGAAAGATACACAATTATGGTATGATATAGATTTGAAATCAAATCTTGGTCCATAATTGATCTTCTTAAAATACTAAAAAAAAAGACAATTAAATTAATAATTAATAAAATTAAATCCAAAAGTTTGGCCAATG